TTACGATAGCCTGTGTTTACATGAACATTGGAAATAGCCATGTCGCATGCCATGCTATGGGCTTTGTTGCAATTATGGCTAACAACAACCCCACATCATTTTTTCAGGACAAATTCTTAACCAGGTTTTCCTACGTATAGTCATGTAATTACATTTTAGAAGGAAATGCAAGAGCTACAACTCCCAGTTTCCAGTGGGTAAATTTGTCTTTTCTTTGAAATTAACATTAGGTTCTTGTTTTTGCTAGATTCCGGCTGAAGTTCTATGGGGACATTCTCTCTCTGCTTTCCTATTCCAGGACCCCCATGAGGCTTTTTAACCATGCCCAGTTGGCATTTCTTCAAAACTAGGTTCAAGTTCCATTTGCTGCCTGAAATAGCCCAAACCTAAACTCCGCAATCTCTGAACTACTAGAGGTCAAGAGCAAATGGCTCATTTTTTTTTTTTTTCCATAGGATTTATTGTATCCTTTTTATGTGCCTCTGACTAGCATGAGCACTTCATATGATCTCATTTAAGCTTCACAACAACACTATGAGGTATTATTCTTATCCCCATTTTCCAAAGGAGGAAACTGAGGTTAAGGGAAAGAAATGTGCATTGTTTGCATGTATTAGCCCCCTGTTTTCTCCTGGTTTCCTGCCGGGAGTGGACTCCACTAGGTTCGATCCTGAACTTCAAATTTCATTATTCATTTTGGCAATTCTTTGAACAGAGGCGAACATCTTAATCACAGGACTGAAAATGTCTTAAGTCCTTCTGCAGTGTTTCCCTTTACCCTGCTTACCTCCCAACGAAGCTGTCTCCTTACGGGGTACACCGTTGACTTTTTTGATTTCTGAGCGCCCCTTCCCAGGGCTGGTCCAGGGACACGCCCAGGTGAGTGCCCAGGAGAGCCTGACAGGCAGTTCTCAACAACCCTTGCCAGCAAGCAGCCTCTCCCTCCTCACAGAGCCTCACGTGGGAGACAAGGTGCTACCTCCCTCCCCCCAACACCCCTCTGTCCCTCTCCTAGCCATCAAAAAACCAAGGCATTTCTGAGAAGCAGTAGGTTAAGAAGTGAAAGAAAAAGAAAGCTGAAAAAGCAGGGAAGACAGTAGCACTGTTGACAAGGGCTGGAGGAGGGGCGTTGCAGGTAAAGGGGCAAGGAAGAACAGTGGAGCGCTTACTTCGGTTGGCCCACCCACCCCTTCCCCACCAAGATCACCCACCACTCCTGATACACAAAAGTCCCTCCTGCCTCCACGGTCAGGCTTTCACACACTGTAGCCTCCTGCCTGTAATTATCTAATTAGGGGATTCACTTTGAGGGTAATAAAACAATAAAGTCTTTAGAAGTGAAAAGGTATCTGAGCAACTGTGGTTCATGAGGCGCTGCCTTCCTAACAGTCCAGACAGCTGCCTGAAGGGACACAGGTATTGATGGTTAAGTGAGGCTGAATGGTGGAGCCTGAGGTTCTTCGGGAGGGTCTGGGAGGGCTGGATTCGAAGGGCAGAACAACTGTGCTGAGGACCCAGAGCGAGCACGATGAAACAGAGGAGACTGTCAAGTAGAAACTTTGTTTTCTTGGAGATTTTTGCCTAGGGCCCGCTCCTCACCCCCGTCCCACCCAGAAAAGTGAAAGAAAACTCCCTGCTTCCCTGCTTCCCTCTCTCCTTACCACCTGCCCTTGCCCCCAGGACCGAGCTTAAGCAGGCACTAATTAGCACTATATTTAACTTGGCTGCATTCAGAGTTCAAGAGGCTTGTGTGGACTGGCCTGGGAATCTGAGCATCAAATTGAGCGATGTTTCTGTGAGAAAATACGCACTGCATTCTAAATTTTTGGCCAATACTTCTAGATCGGGGATGGCTTATACTTGGAGACAGCTTAGAACTTCTCGTCTATATTCACTGGAAGCCAGACCATTTTGTGAAGTTTCCATGCACACCGTCTGGAGGCTTGTTATCACATATCACACACAGAGAGAGACAGAAGTATTGTAACACGTACTATAGCTATTTGAAATATGACACTAGGACACATCGCATATATTGAAATATAGATGCCTTGTATCAGCCACAATATTGATGACTCCACCAGAATCCTTCTCAGCTGTGAGCCCTGTAACACAGAGGCAGGGACCTCCTGTTTTCAGCACTAAAAAAATCTGTGTGTAAATGGAGTTTATCAGCTCCATATAAAGTCATCTTATGGCAGGAATCATTTTGCAAAACAAGCAAGCACCTTACAATTATATTTGGGAACCTTGATTTTATTAGTTGTCTTTCAAGTGGGGTACAGAGAAAATGTCCTGGAGGACTGCCTAGCCCCTGGATATTGAAGTATTCCCTGGACAGCTTTCTCTCCCAACTGTAACAAGAATCTCTCATCAGATTGTTCACCTGGCAGATCTTTACTGACTGTCAGGAAGTGCTGGGCTTGAGACCGCCCTCTCAGGACTCACCAGTCTCATCAGGGAGATGGTGGCTGAGGAAATAATTCACATTTTTACATATTAGTGGCCTACAGAAGGTGAACGCTCGCCATTTCTTCATCTCTAAAATAGCACAGATAGCAGGGCCCACAGAGAAGGGCTGTGGTAATGGTTAATGGAGAAGACACGCAGGTCCTTGGGTTACTACAGTGACTGGCATGGGGTTAGTGCTTGGGCTGCTATTTTCTGGGGGAGGAAACAACTCTCTGTGTATGAGAGGGGTGGACAGGGTCTGAGATGAGCAATGTGAGTTTCAAAAGATGTGTAGGTGTTTGTGAAATGCAGACATCAGGGGAGGAACATTCTAGGCAAAGGGAGTCGTGTGCAAAGGCAAAGCAGTACTAAGACCCAGGAATGTGGAGTCAGTGTGGTTGGAGTGCCCAGGGAGAAAGGAACAATGGTGGCCATGTAGGGGGAGGCACAGGCAAGGCTCCACTGAGGAGGTGACCTTTGGACCCAGTCTTGAAGGATGAGAAGAGGGAAGAACACTCTGGTGGTGGGAAAATCATATACCAAGGCACAAATTGTAAATGTCTCTCAACTATTTAAGAGACTGAGCTGTGGCCGGAGCTCAGCATTCAAGGAGCCATTTCTCCCACTTGGTGGTTTCACATGGGTCTGAGTTGATTTGGCAGATGGATGTGGTGGGCCCCCTAAAGTCAATTACAGGAGGGATTCAGTGGGGGAATGGAAGCGGTGCATGTGCTCCAAAGGGGAGAGGGATTAAGACAGTTTCATGTGTCTTAGAGGCTTTTACTCAGCATGGCCTCTTATACTGGTGAGTGAGAAAAGGCCTAAAAGTAGAACCTGAAGGACTTGTCTCCATGAAGAATTCCAGGAAATTCAGAGGCACAGGAAGACCCCGTTGGTTCGCATAACACACACTCAAGAATTATTTTAACTGGTTTAATATATGGCAGCAAAGTGTAACATCATGGGTGGGGAGAGGAGGGCGTTCTCCCCACTCATGTACAGGATGCGGGGCCACTGGGGAACAGGGAGGCTTCCGGAGCACCAGTTGTCGGTACATGGTGGCATGTCTAGGCCAATACCACAGCTGGTGGTTATGGCAACAGTCAAGTGTGCTGATAGATGGGGTGAGTGGCCATTTTTCTAGCAGTGCTGGGTACAGAAGAGCAAAGCAAGAAAGGAATAAAGGGGTAGGTAATATATGGAATCTGGCAGCACTTGTCCTTGAACCCATTCCAGATTTTCTTTGGGGCTCCCTGAAAACAACTTAGGGGATGGAGACGACAGGGAGGAAAAGATCCTGCTAATGGAGATAAGAACAAAAGCCAACAACAATGTAGGATAACAAATTGATAGGATTTGGTGGAATTTAGACGTGGCTGATAGGGGAGAGGGAAGAATGTAAGATGGAGCCTTACAGAGTTATGTGCGGTGCCCCCAATGGAGGTAGAGTGAGAGTGGGATTCATAGGCCACCATTCCAGAAGAAAGTATCCTGGGTGTAAGGGGAGGGGGGCAAGGTAACAGAAATGGGGGAACTAGGTGCAGCTAATCTACAACAAGGAGTTAGTAAGCAGAGGGCAAACTTCTGTCCCTGTTGAGGGTCAAGGATTGTGAGTTTTGAGGGCTCAGTGTAGGGCCATGGTTCCAAATATTTCCCACACTAAGACTTTCCTTAGACTTTTTATCCTTCTCTGGCTACTTCCTTCACCCTATCTCTACATGCTCTGCAAATACTTCTCCAGAGTTGTCTGTAGCTGTACCTGCAATTCCTCATTTCACCCACTCACTTCTGGACTCAGTTCTTGTCACTCCCCCAACATCTCACCACCCACGACTTCAGTGTCACTAACCTCAACATATACTTTAATGTCCTTGTATTATTTGACATGTCAGCTTTCTTACACTTTGGCTTCTGTGACAGCACAAATCTAGCTTCTATTAGAGGTTTGAAGGAATTTAGTTTGTATCCACATGTGTGACAAAATTTTTACCCTGTTCCCTAGGAAAATCTACCACTGCATACCAGACCAAAGTTAAGGCCTTCTTAAAACCCAAGTCAATAAATGGTCTTCTGTCTCCAGCCTCTTAAATATCTGGGCCTACAGGGAAACCAGAAATCAATGGCCATTCTCCGTATCATGCCATCCTTGAACATTCATGGTCACACATGAATGCTTGATATGCGCAGACACTATTCCAATCACTTTACATATCGACTCAAGTAAACCTCACTGCGAGGTTGTCGACAAATGACAATAACCACTATTATCCCCATTTTATAGCTGGGGAGACTAACAAACACAGCTGATAAACAGAGCTGGGATTAAAAACCTGTTTGTCTGACCATGCAGTTCCCACCATGTTCCCACCATGTTCTTAACCATGAAGCTGTAGTGTGAGAGGGTGTGTCAAACAGCATGTGAAACCACCAGGCCCACATGTCACCTGTCACCCTGTTGCAGATCAGCACGGATTAGAGTCGATCATTCATGGTACATTACAGCAGACAATTTTTCAAAATTAACATTTTTATTAATTTAAAACCAGAAATACAGTGACTAGATAAATACCATATTCAGGTACATGTCCTGTGAGAAGAGTGAAAGGGTAATACTGTTATGTTACTTTTAACTTGTCTACATGAGTTAACTATAAAATGGCTACAACTGCTAAATGGTGCTTATGATTTTGTTGTTCCGGGTGTTTATGATACAAATAAATACACAAGAAGAACCACATCCATTCCTCTCTACTAACTACGGGTAGGTTAGCCTCTTCTCCCTATGGGTCCTACTCCCTACACAATAGTAAACATTGGAGGGTTTTGAATTGGCCTAGCTCAGCTCCCCAGTTCCTGCTTCACCCAGCACTTTGAAAAGGTGTGTCCCAGCACCTGGGGGCAGGAGTCTATCTAGGGAAGCTCTCTGGGTGTTCCCTTAAGGTTGAGCTTTCAGAGAACACCTGGGTGGGAAGGTTTGGGGATGAGTCATCAAAGGGGAAATCACTGCTTTGCTTCAGGATCCGGGTACTTGTTTCCACACTAGGGAAATACTGCCACCTCTGGGAAGGAGGCAGCAGCTACTTAACACCCCACCCTCAACAATGCTTTGTGGCTTTTCAGCAGCCCTGGAGGTCTTACCTCTCTTTCCTGAGGAGAATGTGTGACGAGCTGGTGAGGGGCTTGTCCCAGGAAGGTCTGGCGACAAGGCCCTGTATCTTTCATGAGAACAGTCTCCTTTATGTCAGGTAGTCATAAAGACTGAAACTTTTATATGTTCTCTACCGGTGTCAAATACTCTAAGGGAAAAAAAATGTTCCTCTTATTTATGGTCATGGAGTGGGAAATATGGAATTTATGGGTCCTTAATATTTCTGAGTACTCAGTAGAGTTCATTCATGCCCCTCAGAGGAGATAAATCTAGAAGGCAGGTTTGAGACCGTTGTGGTGGAAAATTTATAGTTTTCCCACAAGGATGATTTCTAAAGCCAGGCCTCAGAACGGATAATTTATGATCTGGTATTGGGCTCAAATAGACATTTTTGGAGCAGTGTTCTCTAGGATCTGTGATTTAAATCCACGTTTAGTAGACGAAGATGGTAGGAAGATTTAGGATAAAGATCTTTATCAGAACGCCCATCTCTCCAGGTGAACACTAACTCTAACTGAAAACCAACTTTCAGAGGCTCATGAGCACTGAGCCCCTTTGCAAAGTAAAAAGCAACTCCTGTAATTGGAGAAGGGAAACTGCCCTTTTAACACACTTCTAGAATTTCATTTAACTTAAATTTTTGGACTAGGGAACTTTGGCTTCAAGAAAATTAGTGAGTATTGAGCTATTTATGGGTGAGTTTTATTGACTTGAAGACACAAAAATGACCTTGTTGACCTCTACTCACTCCTTTCTTCAGCAATTATTTTGTCTTATACAGATTCATTTTCTGGAAATTATACCCAATTCTCATTTCTTTAGTGACCACCATGGGGTCGGGGAGCGGGGGAAGAAATGTTATCATTAGGGGAAATGCATTTACCACATCAGAGTGAATATAGTGATGAAAAGGTGTTCTTAGTCTTCACTCTGCCATCAGAGTTAGGGACTTCGACAACCACACCACAGACCTAAGAGCAGAATCTTCTGCTCACAACTTCTTATTTATCCCTCTAGATTCCAACACCCTCTGAGCTGCTTTGGAGGCAGGCAAGGGAAAGAATAGGAGAGCTATGCTGGTGTTGCCCCAGAATGAAGGCTGCGGTTTTGTGTGTGGGCGTGTGCACCTGCATGTGTGTCAGGATGAGAAGTTAATTCTTTTCAAAAACAAGAATTCAAAAATTCAAGAGTATAATTTCATACCAATAGTATGTCCGTACTACAGAACTCCTACTAAGTAATTCCCTTCACTTTCATTGCAATAAGTTTCTATATAGAAACCCTGGGGCTTTGTTTAGTCATTAACCTGTAAAGAAATGTGATCCTCTCTGAAAGTAGAGCAGTGTTGGGGTGTTCTATCCCTCTTCCCTCTCACAAACCATTCAAGACTCCTCTAGTCTCTTTGGAGGAGATGGCTGAGGGCTGACACACCACTCCACATAAAGGAGCAAGTCATGCTGTGCATGGCGTGAAAAATTAACTGCGCTGGAGCGTGGGCTTTCAGGGACTGTTGATTTAAGCAGAATAAGCCTGCAGTCCGGCTGCAGCTCGCGTGTGTTCTTGCTCTCCCTACCCCACACTGTCTCGTCTAACAGTGGCCCTTTTCAGACCTTTCCAGGTACAAAACCTTGACTAAGTCTTCAAGCTCTGTTCTGCACACACGACTTGAACACATCTGGCTGATCTGAGCTTCTCCTTCGGTGAATATCTTCCACTGGCCTAAAAGGCAAACACAAAGTCACAAAGTAGACCAGAGTGAGTGAGGAGAGCAGTCAATTAGGAAGTTAATATGCCACGCCCTTACCCACATATGCAGGGACCCACAGGGAAGGAGTACATATGGACTACAAATACCAGATGGTTTCAGAAAAATCACCCCCAAGTCACTTCTGGGGACAGACATGGACAACAGGCTGTGGGCTTTTCATGTCAACACAGAAGGATCCCAAGAATAATATGCAACTGCCTCCTCTTGAGTAAAACCTAAGTATTGTTTTTGGGATCTTTGCAGCATATTCAGCATTAGCAAAATGCTCCCCCATCAGGTTGTTGGCTATTTTGGTGGCTCACTTGGCACCCAATAAGGCTCTTTGGGAAACCCCACCTGGAGCATCCCTGGGGCTTTGGTCACCTCTGTGAGCCCAAATATTGATTTGGGTTACTTGAAACTTTATTGCTCCTTCCTCCATTACTGCCACCTTCTGCTTTCTCCCATGCCCACATGCTATTCTTACACCCTCCTTAGCAACCCTCCATGCCCTCACCTATAGCTGCAGAGTCTCCAGAATTTCTCATTAGCAAGTGGCATTACTATTCACGCAGTCTATAGAGTTGTTAATATGGGAGTCATTTCTCTCCAACTCAGTTCTCTTTGCTACTTACTGATCTTGATGAATTAACCAGAGAGGTATCCTTCACAGTGGTCTCTCTTACCCTGTTACTTAAGAACATAATTTCCTGATTCAGACAATCCGCAGCTCTTTCACTCCCAAAGTAAATTACCTCTTTGTAACGCATTATAAAAAACAGAGCTGAACCCACCATTCACTTGCTTAAAAACCGGGACCAGATCTGTTCTCTGGTCGGCGGTCAAGTCTAACTTCATAGTATGGCATCGTGGTCTCTTCATCATCTGGCTCCAATGAAGTAGGTGCCTAACAAATCCAGCTGACAGCCGAGCCACATCTTTCCAAAACACCACTGTGACATCACTATGCGCTGTTTGGAACTTTGCAGCAACCACCAGTGCTACTTGCCTTCTATGTGAAGCTCTCACCAGCTTCTTCCAGGGCCTCTGATTACTTCCTAGCTCCAAGGCTTCTCATGGCTCAATGCTCCCTATGTTGCCTGTGTAACTGTTCCTCACCCATACCCACCCACTCACCCACCCACACCCACATTTCTTGTTTGCTCCTGTCTGAGTATCCTCTTAAGAGTCTACACCTTCTCCCTGGACTGATTTCCTGACCCGTTGCCCAGTTACACCCTTCTCTTTTAAAATACACCTCCTCCCCGAAGCCTTCCCCGACTAAGCCCACCTGGCTCTCATCTCATTGTTCTTCACAGATTCCCCTGAGCACTCAGGTATTTAACTGCTCATAGGAGGGAGGCATTTGCATGTTCAGTCTCGCCCATTAAAATTTCCTGTGGATAGAGATTCTGTGCCTTTTATCCCTTTAGAAGGGCTCCCCACCCCCACACCCCCGGTGCCTAGCAGTATCTAGTGCCCAGGCCCCATCTAGCGTAGAAAGTGGGCAAGCTACAACTCTGTGTGAGCACTTGAGTGTTTCTGAAGAAGCATGACCCTCCAGCGGCAGTTCCAGAGAGCCCAACCCAGCTGATACAACATGGGAACTGAGGTGCACCCCTCTCCTCTCTCAGTCCCCCCACCAGAGGTCACATCCTTTCAGATGAGTAGTTGCCACAGACATACCAGACCTGGAACCCAGGTCCAGACCGACACTTTTGAGAATGTGAGTTTAGCAGTTTTACTGAAGGTAGTCCAGCAGCCTCGACCTGGGGTGACATGCACACTGGCTTTGTATTCCTCATGTCCAAGTTTTCAGTCTGCATTCAGACATCCCATTCTGTCATCACCCAGAAGAGAGACAGAACGCCCTCTAAGGCTAATATTAAACACTGTTAATGTTCACTGAGAGCACAGAGGCACTTTATTTAGGGCCGTGCTATATTGAAAACTGGATGTGTTTTCTGCATTTTCCAGAAAATGAGGTACCACTTACTCAGGGTGGTCCTGGTCACCAGCTTGAAGTGATGGAGCTCCTCAAACATCCGCTTGGAGATTTTCTCAATATGGAAGTGCTGGAGGATGCCTGGAGCCAAGCAAAAAGTGGTGCAGGTGATCAGACACTGTCTAGAACCACCAGCCCCTTCCTGCTTGGGCTGAGCATATCATCTCATTACTGGGGCTTAGGGGGATCGAGTTGGGCTATGTAATGTGCTTAACCAGGAACTTGGATGGCTCAAGGGTTATAATTGACTCCATTTGTTTCCTTGGCTCACTGGCGTTCCCCCTGGTTCTCCAGAGGATGGAGATAAGGGGGAGAGTACTGTTGACCTTGGGACCCCCTCCACAGAAAAGCCACATGGAATCAAGCATGGTTGCTGGTTGGAGCTTCTGCAGTCAAAGGCAGTATTAGACATTCTGCCTTTGCCCAAGTCCAGGTACACTAGATTTGTGCCAAGCCACTGGGCTGCCCTCCTGGCTAAGCACGGGGAGCCAGAAGTGGGACTGCAGGCAGGTTGTTTGTTTAAATGGAGAAGCCATCCCTGTTCTGGAACTCACCGAAAAGCATATTTTCCTTTGGCAAATATCCACAGCTCCTTTAGCTTTCCCTTATAAAAGCTGTGGACCTCTAAAAGTAAGGGGGCTCCCACAGTCTCAACTTTACCCGGGTGGCTGCTAGCAGAACAACACATAAACAATTGAAAGCTGCCTTGCAGTTAAGGAGTGTCCTGTTCCCAGCCTGCCCAATCCTCAAGAGGTCTGCAGGGAGCAACGTAAATAAATAAAGCCTGGGTTTTCTCTGTCCACTAAGCACAGACCTTGATTACCCAGCACTGAGAACAAGAGGTTATTTAGATACGACACTAGCAAGTTGAAAAACATCCACATGCCTGTGCGGAGGGAAAGATGTGGGGTGACCCCACCATTCAGGAAGCCAACAGAACAGTGCTTAGTCCAAGGTGACCAGTTACAGAGAAGCTAGGGAATTAGCAATGGAAAATCAACATTCCTAGGTATATAGCAAAAATAAACATGGATGAGAAATATGTGTGTTCTAGTGTGTTTTTGAATGGGGTGGGGAAAATCTCGTTCTTTCAAGAAAGGAAGGTTCTTATGAAGAGGGAGAAAAAGAAGCCTATGACAACAACAATTATTCCTGTGTAACCTGCATTGGATTCCTCTGGCTCTTTGTTTAAAAATGCAAGCATTTAGACCCAACGTTTACCTAATTCACTTCGGGAGCAGGTAGGTAGGCTATAAAGTGGCTCCTCAAGTGATACTGAAGTGGACTCAAGTTGGAGCATTCCCAGGCTCTGTAGGGGCCAGCAGAAAAAGGTTGTGCATCACTTTCAATTGATATCTCCCTCTGTTCTTGGACCCCTAGAAAACTTGAATCAACTGGATCAGCACTGGCCTTGGATCTATGGAATGGTTTGAACAGCTGCAGGCTCACAAGGCACAGAACACAGCTGGCCATGGAATCAACGTGAGTAACCAGTATAGGAACTGAACATCATGATGGGCATTGCTCCGCCATTGAGAGTATCATCTGGAGGGCGGGGATTATGTTTTAAATGTCTCTTACACCAGACTACAGAGTATGATTGGAGACACTTAGTTTCAACTGAATGATGCACTTTCCTGTTTGTTAAACTTTGTGCTGGAAAGAATGGTAGACTACAGTTTGGTGGTTTGCAACGCTGGCTGCACATTAGAGTCACCTGTGGAGTTTTAAGAACAAACATGTACACAGGCCTACTCCCAGCCAGTTAATCCTAGTCTCTGGGGGTAGTCCCAGGCATTTGGCATATAAAAAACCTCCCCTGAATAATTCTGATATGCAGCAAACATGGAAAGCCACACCACTGGCCTTTGGTGCATAAGGCAACAAAACCCAAAGGTCCACACTTACTTCTTAGCCCAGGCCATGGTGAAGGTCACATACCAGAGTTACTATTGTATCCGCCATATGTTCATTTCTAAACAATTTGGAAAATCTCTGACCCAAATGAATGCACTAAAGCAAAATTAAGGTGAGTCTTCCCTTCCTTCCATGTGTCCCCTTTAGAAAAACAGCACACTCACACACAAATGAACGTTGTCTTGCTTACCCTTTCGAATGGTCCAAACGTGGACCTCTACCTGAGGTGGCCTCTCGGTCTCTAGTGCTATTTTCCTGGTGATTTCCCCATCTTCCATGAACACAGACTCATATACAGGCATTGTTTCTTCTCCACAAAAATAGCCTTTGCTGTCAAAACTTTGGCCTGGAAGTTCTTCTGGAATCAGGAAGCAAGTAGAGTTTTGTCATGGTTAAATCACACTTGTGCATTTATGTAATGTTGCTCATGGAATAAATCACACTCATCAAAAGTAAACGATCAACAGAAACACTCTTACAGAATTGGAAATTCTACCCATTTTCCCCGGCTCAGCTTAAGCTACCCTTGTAACTAACGGCCACCGAAACACACAGGAGCACATGGTCTTTAGTGTTAAGGCCATGTGACAGAATTTTTAGTTCTGAAGAACGCTGGCCCACAAACTAAACTGGATCTGCCCACTACCAATGAGAAACGGGCCTCCATGAGGAGGAAAATGCAGCCAGGTATGAACCTCTTAGGCCCTTACGGGAACACAGGATTTTTCCCTGCTGGGTCACCATCACAATCTGTCTGGCTCAGTGCTGCCAACAGAGACCTAGGATAGGAGTGGCCTTCATTAACTTTCCTGCCATCACTTAGGTATACTTAGAAAACATTTGTGACACTCACTTATGTGCATATACTTGCCCAAAGGATCTATCCAAATTGGCTTGACATCTCTGAATGCTTTTTGATTTGTTTGTAAGGGGAACGATAATACCAGATCAACACCAGTGCCAAAACCTAGATGTCAGATTAGTCATATGTATGCTCTGCCAAATGAACGGTTGGGAGACACAAAAAAATTGGTCAGATCCCTAACTGTGGATCATAAAGCATAAACTAAACTGTTGGATTTCAGCTCCCAGGCATGAGGGAAGGTACCAGCCCTCCCCAACATACTCCCACTCCACCCTCCTCTTATCCTCAGCCCCCGACCCCAAATAATTTTGCTCCAGGTTGGTTCTGGTGAGATAATTGTCCTTCCTGGCCTTGTAATCAGCACCCTCTTTAGTTGTGCGACGTGTACATTCAAATGAGGAACAACAAACAGAAGCTGTGGACACCATGAAAACTTTGAATGCAGGCAGAAAGCATCTGTAGGAATATCAGATGAAATCGTTGAGTACTGAGTGTTCTGCTCTGTGATGCTAATTACTGAAGCTCATCATTGGCCATTCACACAGCTTGGGTTAGAGATTGTAAATAATTTGCTATTGCACGCCTCTTGCTGACTTGAATAGCTTTCCCACCACCATTTTGACACCGTAAGGATAGAACCATAATCTTCTCTTGGCAATTCCAGGTTAGATGACTTAGTCTGTACATAATCCTCACATCAGACTTCCTTCTCCTTTTCACTCTTTCTAGTTATATAATTATTCAAAGGCCAGTTTGGTGACAGGTAATTAAGGGATGTGCTAGCACTCTTCAAACAGGAAGAGAGAGCAGGTCACTCACTGCTTACAGAGGGGGCGCCATGTATTTTATTTATTACCTTTAGAATGAAAGCCAAGTTCATTTGCTCACCAGCGTAATGTTGGTATGGCTACAACTGTCATAAGAAATTCATGATGGCCCTGGCAATACCTGTAACATGCTAGAAGTTCTCCCAGTGTCAAGAGACATCCTGTACTACCAACCCCTCCCCTCCAAGAGCTTAATTTACTCACCAGAAAAGATCTACAAACAACAAAATCCATTAATGACTCCACTCTGGCTGGTACTTGAAAATATGGAGAGTAAATAAAGGGTCTTTGGAACTAACTACTGGGCACATCTGCCTCATTCGACACCCTTCACCTCAAGGTGCTTTCTGATTACTCCAAGTTCACCTCCTTTCATTTCATGCAGGGAAAGCATGTCATGCTGAACATATTTTTGCCCATTACCACCTCCCACAAGAATGCTCCTGTCCTGAGCCCTCTACAACCAAGAGACTGGGAAGTCATTCCTTGTGGAAGTGGCAATGGCTGATGAAGGAGAAGTATTATCCCAGTCCAGGAAACTTTGAAGTCTTAACAGGGGCTTTGAATACTATAACCCGAGAGGAGTGTGTTATTATGGGAATTCCAGGCACAGGTGAAAGGGGAACTGGGGAACCTCCAAGGAAGTCCTACACAAACCTATTGGAGGGCACTGAAATGTAAGACGAGGCCAGCCTCCACCACAGCAAAGGGACTAGAGGTGAAAGTCACAGGCTTAATTCTGGCCCCAGTTTGTTGCTGGAGGACCCTGAAATCATTTGTTACAGTGAAACTTTTAACTGGATCATCAATGAAAAATGGTGAAAATAAAAATTACCCTGAACTCAGTCACCCAAAGATGGTCACTGTTTCTGCCATATGCCTTTCTACTCTTTTTCTTTTTGTCTAAGCATATTATAAACACTTTCTTTTTCATACAGTAAGTGTGATCATAATATACATATTGCTTTGTAGCTCGCTCTTCATACTTAACAGATATTTGCAAGCATCTTTCTGTGCCTTTAAGCCTTGTTGTACAATGATTTTAATGGTTGTTTCACATTCCACACTACAGATGCACCATAATTCATTTAAATATTTCCACTTGTGGAAGAAGCCTGATCCTATACCTCTCAATCCCATACAGTGTTGTAAATCAATGTTACCTCGATCAATAAAATATCTATTCCCACATTGGAAGACATCTAGATCATTCCCAATTTTTCACTACTATACTAGCACTGCAGTAAAAATTCTTGTTTTTATATCTTTGTACATAACTCATTGATTTCTTAGGATTCCTGGGGTAGAATTGCTTAGACAAAGAGTTACATAAATGTCAAGGTTTTAATAAATATTATCAACTTGAGAGGTCATTTACTTAAAGGGCAATACCTGTTGTATATTCTGCTCTCACACCTATTTGAGCCTTTCACTTATTTGATCTTATTTGATCAAGTGCATCAATAAAATTCTAAACACACAATAAAATGGATTTTGGTCTGAAGGTCTGAGATTTAAATTGGGATGTTATATAGTGGGAGGGCTTATCTTACCTGGAGTTTAGGTAACTATTGGTTTTTGTTTGAAATAATTCTGTAGTATTACTTATAGGACTACAGGTGTTAAACCCTTGATAGAAGAGAAAACTGTGTTGGTGAAACTACTCCTAAGTGACATCACAAAGTTTGGGAATCCAGTGGGATCACAGACTTGGAAGTCACAATAGGTTATCGTGGTTGAGTGGCTACCATGTTCCTATCATCCTCAGAATATGATCTCTCCCTACTGCTGATGAATATATTTTCTCATCCATTTTAATGCCCCAGTTTTCTACTCCATATAAGAATTGCTGTCCTTCCTATCCACAGCCTGCCCACAATGATTCTGGAAGATGAAGGTTGTTACATTAAGATTTTGCTTGTGCGGCAAGTAAATGCTCAATTAAGGTATACAGGAATCACCTAGTGGACCTTGTTCAAATGCAGATTCTGATGCAGAAGGTCAGGGTTGGGGCCCGACAGTCTTCAATTCTAACTGGCTCCCAGGTGCTGGTGGGAGCACTCAGACCACTTTGAGTAGCAATACCATAGACCTCCCTGGGCATATAGCACTGGTTCCCAAACTTGTCTACATATTAATATTGCCTGGGTTTCTCTGAACATTTTTGATAGCACAGGCCACACCTAAAAGCAATGAAATCATAATCTCTGGAGATGGAACAGAGGTATTTTTAGAAGCTCTCCAGGGGATTCCAATGGGAAGACACATTTGGAAACCACTGGCCCACACAAAGATGCTCAAAAAATAACCACCAAGTTTATATTTGCCTGCTACTCATAAGGCATTGACTAGGTTGAAGGACTAAACAATTTAGATCTCTGCCTACATTTCTAAATGTCTATAGTTTAATGTTTATTTTATTCTAATTTTATTATTTTTTATTGAGGTGACATTGGTTTACAACACTGTATATGATTTAGGGATATAGATTCACACCTCTCCACATTTTCATCTGTGTTTATAGAAATGCTTTGCAGACTGGCATAAGAAATGATAAATTCATGTGCCTAGAAGAGACTTATATATTCACTGCTAGTGTTAGATCTGGAAGGGTCCTAAGAAATAATCTAATCTGGGCCTCCCTGGTGGCGCAGCGGTTGAGTGCGGGGTTGCGAAGCTGCCTGCAGCCTCTGCAGCGCCGGTTCGATCCCCGGCTGCTTCCCGGCCACTGGAGGAGGGTCCCGCATGGCGCGCAGACCTCTCCTGCCGCCCACTGCTCCCCGTAGCAGTGTACTTCGGTCCTTCTGCCTGCTCTGCTCCCCGCTCTGGCTCTGGTGAATTCTCTCACCCTCCCGCACTTCTGACTGTACCCAGTGCTTGTATAAATAAATAAAATAAATAAATAAAGATAAATCTTTAAAAAAAAAAAAAGAAATGATCTAATCCTTTCATTTTGTGGGTAAGGAAACAGAGATTTGAAATGACTTGTTATAGATCACACAGGAAGCCAGGGGCAGAGACAGGGCTAGAATGCTTGATTCCCAAGCCCAAACCCGGCAATCCCAATACTTAGGTCCATGCTTTTATTTCTCAGTCAGCAAGGAGAGAGAAAGAGAAAGTCACGGCAAGTATAGTGAAGGAAGCAATTAATAAGTTAATTAAGAAGTTACACATATCACAACTACACGCAATATCATGCTCAGAGAGGCCAACCCAAATGCAAGAGAGAATGGGAAATATAGTCTGTAGGTTCTATTATTAAACAATGAAGGAGGAATCAATGGGGGGAATTCAGGCTTACCTACAGGAGTGTAATAACTGTAGGTGCAAGCTTAGCAAATGTCTCAGTTTCTTTTACAATGTATGTTTGTGTCTAATGACTGACAGAAGGAAGTTTGAGAGCTCTCGTGCAAATGATCCATCACAGATTTTATTAGTGATCATTGCCATATTGATGGAATCAGGCTTCTGTTTCCTGTTTCAGTACTGCCTATGTAAAGGGGCACCAAGAGCTGTGCACTGCAGCAACTCTCATAGAATCACTTCGTATGAGGTTGTACATTACAGTGCTCACAAGTTACACTGAGTGATATCATAGGATGAAACATAGCAAGGCCTTTATGCTTTTGGGGGGGGAGGGTACTGAGATGTAATTGACTCAATCACCCACCATTCTATGAAGATTCAAAAGAAATTTCTCCTAGGCCTCATGGTCAGAAAACTTTTTGTCAGTCAGCATTTTTGACTAGCCTGGAAAAGGCAATAGTCTGGAAGTGACCTGGGTTCCAGGCCTTGGTTTTATTATCTGTTTGTGTGAATCTGGGCATGTCATTTTACTTTATATGCCTCAGAATTCTTATCTTTAATAGAGAAATAATATCATGGGATTTTAGTGTTTGGAAGGGAGCTTGGAAATCAATTGTTCCAAACTTCTTATTATACAGATGAGGCTGATGAGGCCCAGAGCAGAGCTGACGCATGTCCAAGGTCAAGTTAGATTAGGACCAGAATCTGCTCTTCTTTTAGTCTGTCATCTTGTCTCAGAAGGAAAATGGGTTTGCTACTGCTTCGATGAGTTAAATAGTAATATAAATGAAGGTGCTATTGCTTCTCCTAATAATCACAATAACCTAATTTACCTACTAAAAAACAAGTCTATTAGAAAACAAGTCTTATGTTTGGCACTTAGGAGTATATGGGCATCAAATGTATGGTGAACACATGCAAATCCCCAGTCTATTCCTGAGTACTAAATTTCTCCCAAGCAACCACCTTATCAGCCTTTCAGGAAAGGAGAAAATGAAGTTCAATATTAGTAGAACTATTATCATTATAATTTATACATGGCAGGTTGATTATATTCCCGGTGATCAAAAAACATTAAGAAAGACGACATGGGGATCGCAGTCAACCAAAAGCAGGGCCTCCAACCAACGCACCTTTTGCCTTTTTACCTGGACACACCTTGCAGCACTTTCCATCTATTTTTTGAGGATACTTGCAAGGGTATCGACTGGGGCAGTGGATTTTCTTACACTCTTGCTTGGTGATATTACATGTGCACAGCACGCACTCCACAATGCCAAAAGCCCGGAGGTTCGGGTGCCAGGACTCGCCGTGGGAATAGGTCTTCCCATTGGAAACACACACTGGAAGAGAACATAGAGTCAGAAATTAAAAGCTAGGAAAGTGAAATGGGCCCCTATGCTCAGAACCCCAGCCCTGAACTCCTTATGGCATCAAGCATCCTTTGTTCTTGTGCTGGCCAGAGAGATAAGTTTACAGAGCAACCCATGTAATAAAAAAATGGCTTGGGCCTTGTTCTACCTTCAACAACTTTTCATATTCCTCAGCAGCAGCCTTCAGATGACGCATAGTAGGCTATCAAATATTTTCTTTGAACGGAGGAATGAATGAATGCATGAAGACAGAGTTCTGTGTGTTCTGAGTAGCCAAGGGACCTTGAAAAAGCCAGTATTTGGACTGCAGGCTGAGGGGCCCATGAAGGAAAGGGGCCACAGTAACATCCTTCAGTATAAACCAACAACATGGGCTCCCACTATAAGGCATGGAGCAAGGCTCCAGGATAAGAACTGCGTGGGCTGGGAATGGGGAGTTTTAAGGAGGACTGTGCTCCTTTTTTGAAAGTGCTCAGACATTCTGGAGATTTCAAGCCACGACTGGGACTGGGTGTGTTTCTCATTATTCCCATCACCTCATCATACCCAGGGAGACCTGTCGGCATCCCAATCAACAACTTCTCTAGGGTGGGTTGTATCACTGAAGGTGGGGCTAGGGTGGGAGAATAAGCCCCACTTGGGGCGTTTCTAGGAATTGACTGATTTGGCTGCAAGACAGTGGCCTCAGAAGGATGAATCATTGGGCTATTTCTTTCTCATCAAGTCCCCTGGGTCACATTAGGAAATATGGATGATGTTGGCTGCTTTTTCCTGTGCTTTGCAAGAGCTGCTACTCCAACTAGGCACTCCAACAGGACATCCACGTAAAGATTTCCAAGAACCTAAGAACTTGCACTAGAGAAGCTCCTGACCTTATGAAAGGTAGAACAGAGACTTGAATTCTGAACTTCGAGGCTCAGGGCTGCAGACAGACTCACATGACAAGTCAGGCCAGATGTGTTATTCGTCTCCTGCCCTCCCTCAACTTTCTCTGCTCCCCGTGACACTGAGTCCTAGACAATGCAATAGAGTGTGTACACAGCCGGCTTTAAGAAAGTATTGGGTGGACTCAAGTTTCAAAAAGTGGCTTCCTGTCACTGCATCTTTTTTTTTAAAAAAAAATAAAAGATTCATTTATGCATACAAGTGCTGGGGCAACAGGCCAGAGGTATAGGGGGGCGGGGTGAAAGGATTCACCAGAGACAGAGTGGGGAACAGAACAGGCAGACTGACAAATACACTGCTGAGGGGAGCAGCGGGCGAGTCAGGAGAGGTCTGCTGCGCCATGTGGGTAGCTCCCTGGTGGGGAATGGAACTCGTGCTGCAGTGGCTGCGGATAGCTTCAGAGGTTGCGTCTTAACCACTTGCGCCACCAGGGAGGCCCCTGCATCACTGCATCTTTGACTCTGGCAAGGGACCAAGTAGATAGAGCTCAGAGAAACACACGACTGCCAGGAGAGTTTAGGGACAGGACAGGGAGGGCTCCTCGTGTCATATTGATAGGTCTCTTCTCCCATAAACATTTGGACTAATGGGCCATCCAGCCTGGGTGAGAGTTTACACCCTGATGTACATTAGGGTGAGATCAGTCCTCTAGAGAGAAACAACCTTCTTTCCCTCAACAAATTCTCAAGATGATTTTGAATCATCCAGCTGGGGCACTGGGGGCTAGGGGTGGAGACAAGTGATTCTCTAGTGAATGGTAACAGGAAGGCCCGGCGTGGACTGCTGCATCCAAATCATTGGGGGCAAAGGAATAAATGCAAACCAGCTGGGGTTTTTGTAGGACACGGAGAAAATCAAGGGATGAGCCCCTGCCCTGAAAATGAAGAGGCCTGTGGAAATTATGGGATTTAAGATTTTCAAAGTCCATTACCCCACCCTTTTTTCTAAAGCTTTGAAATACTTTCAGAGCAAATGGAATGTATTGGAGGCAATTTAGGACGGAAAATCAAACTGCATCTTTACCTAACTCCTCCCCCCCATTTCATAAATTCATATCAGAATGCCTTGGAATCTAAAAATAATAAATTTCAAATCAAACCCAGATCAATAGTAAATATTTCCAATTCTAATACATTGCCATTTTTTATTAAGAGTTTTATTTTGAATGTTGTTCTGTTAAGCCTGTTAGTTTCAAAAGCAATTTAATTTTTTTTATCTGTAATCTGAAATTTACATCTAACTAGTAACAGATGTGATCATCTTGCTTTGGCTTGACTAGCTTTGTTGAGATTTATAGTAGGAGTTTTTGTAACGGATTGTTTTTCACCCATGTTATTCAATCATTTGGTATAATAATTTATTACTTTTAACCCATTCAGAGAACTGCCTTTGATTTGTTTTTCCTTTAAAGGAAACAAAACATGTTTGTGGTTTCATAAAAAGGAACCAGCTGAGCTTTTGCTCTGAAGAGCTGGTTGACACGATGCCTAAAAAAGTAAGAAGCAGTCAATTGTTTGATTGAATTTCTCCTCCCCCTCCCTGCTACTGGGGGGTGGGGGTGTGGAGGCCAGAAAGCTCTGTGCAGGAAGGAACGGGGTCCTGGAGGTGTGTGGGTGCCTGCTGCAGCCAGCTGGTCGGCTGAGTGGGCTGCATGTCGGGTGTTAACCTGATCAGGCCTCCTGGTGCTCAGCCAGGAAGTTTTGGGATTTCTCACTGGATTACTCATTTCTAAGGACAATATCCTCAGACAAAGTAGAATCTTGAGTGTGGAGCTCCAATGTGTGTCTCTAGCAATAGCTCCTGGACAATCTGGATGTGCTGAGGTATGAGAGCGACCATTTTTAAGTATGGATAAGAGCTTTAGAAGTGTTTGACACTGAGTACCTTTGAATTTTGGGTGCCCTATTGGGAACAAAAAACACCTCTCATTCAGTTAAAGACCCAAGGAACTTCCCAAAGGATCTTCAATTGCTAGGGGCAACTGAGAAAATGTTGGGGGCTGTCGTAGGTAGGGATCACTATTTTCTTGCCATTAGTACTAAACAAGGAACAGGCAGGTACACCTGAAATAGAAACTCTGCTCTTGGCTATATTTAGGGAAATCTGAAGAGTCCCCTGGAGTCAGTTGTCTACATACACTGTGAAGGTCTGCTGGTGAGAGGGCCACATGTGAATGGATACTATGCCCGAGAGAAAGGGCCCTTCCCCAGCTGCAGCCCTCCAAAGACCAGGGCTGCTGAGCCTGACGTGTATGTGGTGTGTAAGCAGCATGCCCCTTACCTTGGCCGTGCTTATGTTTGTTATTGATGACAATCTGCACGATGGTTCCCGATGCTTGCTGGGAATCCATGAGAGCTCCCCGGTGGCTTCTGGCCCCAGGAAAGCGGGGCAGACCTGCAGCCTGTCGGTTCGGAGGAGGATCATAATGAGAGCGGTGGTAAGAATGTCTCTGTGAAATAAAAAGGACAAATTCAGTCTCCCAGATCCACCAATGGGAAGGCAGAGATGGACTTACATATATTCGAAGTCACTGATGATTTCTAAACCCCAAAGAAATGAGACTAGAAAATGGAAGCAGCACTGGCAACGTGCTGAGATTTCTCTCTTCTTGTAGAAGATTGGACTAGCTTCACAAACTCCTGAGAGAAAACAGCCCCAAAGCATTGAGTGTCCTTCCCACTCCCAAGAATCTCACATTCGGGCTTAAGAGTTAAGTTAGAAGCCTGTAACACAAAGCAGAATGTGAGAGAGGCAACAGAAGTATAAAATGCAGTGCAAATTAGGATGGGAAAAAGCCGCTAGCTGGGAGGGTTTGTATCCTGGGCCATGAAGGGTGGGTAGCTTTTTACAGACAGAGTTGGTGACGAATATTCCAGGAAGAGATTTCCAAGTTGAGAAGGTGTACCAGAGAACAGAGTCCATAAAAGGGAACAGTTGAGAGCTAGCATTCCAAAAATGGGTTTTCACCGGATCATGGAGAGGACTTTAAATGACAGGCTAAAGGGTGACGACTTTATTTGGGAGGCAACAGAGGTAAGGATATGGAAACCTTTGAGGGTTATTTTTTAAAGTAGGGAAATAATCAAAACTGTGTTTCAAAGCATTGAACACCGATACTGTACAGGGTTGACTAGATAAGAGGAAGAAACTGAAGTCAAGTATAGTCTAGAGAAGATGTAGGAGACTTTAAAAACAAGCAAAGGCATGAAATCATACAGTAGGGCAGGTACCTTAGACATTCAGAGATAAAAGAACAGGCCATTCATGACAGTAGCAGAATGTCAGCTCCACAGAGGCGAGGATTTGTTTTGTTCATTGCTATAACTGCAGCACCTAGGACAGTGTAACATCTAGAAGGTGCTCATCAAATACCACTGAATGAGTGAATGAGAGCAGTGACCCCAATGCCAGCTTACAGTCCTGTAGTACAAGTAATCTAATGGTCGGCCACTCTTTCACCAAGGGTTCAAGACACATGATGAGTTTGCTATCTGCTGCCATCCCTCTCCCAGGAGCTGAGACATACTGGGGTGGAAGAAGATGGAATGAATGAAGACTAGAACCTGAAGATTTAAAGTTAATGCCATGCTTTAGGGGCAACTGTTAGGGGTAAAGGGAGGGGGACACATTAAAAATCTTTCACAGCAAATTTAAAGGATGATCCTTACATTCAGTGATAGAAATAGCAGGAAACCTTGCAAAGGTACTATTTAGTTCTGACTCTTACCATCCCGTAAAGTGTTTATTACAGTTATGTTCCATAGTCACATGTGTTGCAAATTTACCTTTAGGAATTATTGGGGGGGGGGTGTCAGCAAGAGAAATGAAGGGCAAACAGGAGCTAGACTAAAAGAACATTATTCCCCTATATCTAAGGAGAGCCCATTATGATACATTATAAAAATAAAAATTTCCATCAATTTACTATCATGCCCATGGATGGGATTCTCAGTGCAAATATTTTTCATTCCTACAATGGCTCATGTGTCTTTTTCTGCCACAATCACTCACATTCCACAAAGGCCATTACAGATTGTTCTGTCCTTTCTGAAGTTTGGCAAAGTTTTGCCAAAGGAACACAGAGGAGAGTTTAGCATCCTCATGGTGCTAGAAGAGGACTTTTGACGGGGCTAGAACTTGAAAGGGAAGGTCTCTGATCTAGGATAAGCTTCTAGAACAAAAAGTCCTCTGATACATAGGGCAAGCACAAAATGGAAAGCTGTTCTTTTGGTACCAGGGCGTCAGAACCCTGGACATCTAATAAGGGTAGAACAAGATTCAAGACAAAAATAAAACACTCCAGAGATTTTGATCAGTCAGTCCCCCAGAACCTCTAAGTCTTGTTTTACAGTCAGAAACTAAGGTCAGGGAGGAGTGGGGTTTAATTCAGGGTAGCAATGAAGGTCGAATTTTTTGGAGACAACAGGAGTACAGGAGTGGGGGGAAGGAGGGAGGAAGCTGAACAGGAAGAGGACAAAGGAAGAAGAGGAGAAAGTAGGAGAGATCATTTGGTAAAGCTCAGTGGTCCACAAACATGTGGCAAAAGCTGCTTCTAAGCAGTTCCTTCGGATAGAGAAATCACCTGTGCTCACTCACACCACTTGTCTCCCCTCCGCTGTGCACAGAATCACCTGGGGAACAGTAAGAAATATTGATCCCTGTCTGGCTCACCCCCACCCCACCCCCGGAACTCTGGTGGAATTGGTCTGGGGTGAGGTTTGCACATCAGGATTTTTCTCTCTTCCCCAGGGGACTCGAATTGGATGCCAAGGTGGATAATCACAGATAAAAAAAGGATCTTCTGATTGGAGCAGAGGTGGGGGAACAGTGGTGGGGAAGTAGGGATGGGGGGAGTAGGGGGGGTGATTTTGACTTAAGAGTGATGGCTCTTTTGGAGTTGCTCCTCTAAACACATGAAAGAGGCCGTTTTGACCTTGTAACTTATAGCAAAAAGGAAAAGGCATTAAAGCCTTGGAGTCTGAAGTCAAACTGGAGTTTATCTTCAAAACCAACTATGAATAAGCTGCCTGAGAGAGCAGGCCAAAACTAGTTAGGTAGAAATGACCATAAAGCTCTGCTCTGTTTTATCCTACTCAGTATTTTTGGTATATTTGATTTACTGATGTGAAAGAAGTGACAAATATCTCAGGCTTTGGGGGGAGGCTCTTAGAAGGTTTTTTCTTAGGCGTGGACATACCCCACCATTGTAGAAGTGCCCCAGGAGTTTTTTTTTTTTTTTTTCTCTTACTTCTTCTAGGGTCTAAGATGTCAGCATTTTTTACTGATGGAGACAGGAAAACATCAAAGTCTAGATAAGAGTCTTCAGAGCACCTTTGTGGCGTTCTCTGTTACAATTGCAAGTGAATCCATGGTTAGTGCAAAATAAAAGTTTAATTTAAAAAACTTTGCATTATGTGTTCTAGTCCACATAGCTACGAGAACATTCTATCCTGGTCCCTGGTAACCTGAGACTATCAGTGTCTGGGAGACACAGTCCAGTTTTCTTCCCAAACCATTGTTCTGACAATATGAATGTCACGTGGATTTTTATCTGTTTCAAATTGTTTTTATTCCCAATTCTTTCACTTTTCTAAAGGTAAATCTCTGAGAAATCAATCGGGGACAAAATCAGAGTTTGGCTGCTGTCCAAAACAAAATGATGCTTACTTTCATGTTTTGGCTTCCCTCCCTGGGTGCACGTCTCCCTCCCCACCCCCGCACCATGGTACTAGCATCAGTTCATGTGAAATTATGATGTGGAAATCAAACAGGAATTGCTTCACGTTTTTACAAAGGAGTCATATTGGAACCACTGTTTCTCCTTCCTGTGCACTTCATAAAACTTGGTCAATGATGGTTTTCAGCTGACTTGGCAAAATAAACCCATCAGCTGTGTTTCTGTTGAACTGAGGTTTTGATTGTTCCTGTAAATAGGAACAGTCTATAAAGGGACGGTCTGCTGAGTAGGAAATGTGTTTTAGGGCTGTTGTTTCTTCTCCCATGCAGAAAAACTGGGTTCTGCAAAGGAGAGCCAGCGGGATTTTCCTGCCTTCTCATGTTTGCCTCATCAAGAAAAGAGAACAAGTGTGAGGAATTTCTCTCTGACTTGAGACAACTTCCTGTGCATCCATGTTAAAGAAAACTCCCCAACGCACACAAGTTTACTCCACTTTCTACACCCATTCATTCAACATGTATTTATTGGGCGCCTACTATGTGCCAAGCACATACTTTTCTATTACTACAGATGCTACATATTATTCAAATCATATCCCACAATATCTACCCCTTTAAGAACAAAGGAAAATATTTATTTATAATAAAGTGGAACCATCTGGACATTTTGGTCTACTAGGCCCAAATGTTTGTTCCTAAAGATAAGTTTTCAAACTCCTTTGAAAATCAATAATGCTTCTGTACCTGACCTCTTTTGCTACATGAAGTACCAGATTAAGTCCAGTCCTATCACTACCAGTTTAGGAAGAACAATGAGGCTAAAAGACAAGGGATGGAGTTGGAGGACAATGTAAGACAAAATAAAGAAGAAAGGCTAGTTAGTGGCCTTACCGGTGAGACTGCTGAGATGGCCACAGGATGAAGGGTTGGGGCCTGAGGAACCCAACTTAAGTAAGGCACCCAGCGTAAGGTGACAGAGATATAGATCTGGTTTAGAATGGCATCTGGTCATCAATCACTAATGTAGGTGCTCTCAAATTCTTACAACAATAAAAAAAAAAGGCCGGGCTGAGCAAAAGAGGAAATTCACAACACAGAACACAGAGACTGACAACCTCTCCTATCAGGATCTGGGTGGAATCTCACTCTAAAGCAGATCAGCTAGGTAGAGGAAATCTTTCCTCAGGGTCTATGTTAACCTGCAAACTGCCTGCCCTCTCCTGCAGGATTGCTGCTTTTCTGATATTTGAGTATTGTTTTCCAGTCCAGTCCACAGTCCTTCTACACTCATTCAGACACAGGAATGTCTAGAAAATGATTTGCCTAGAGAATAAAACAAATAGAAGTCATTTCTCTCACTGCTGTGGGTGTGGGCAAGCCAGGACATGCAGGTCACAAGGGGCACGTGTAATGACAGGGGAGCCCAGTGTTAGTCATTTGATCAGGTCCCCTATCAACCCCTTCCTCACACCTCCTCTGATCTCAGGCCTGCCCCACCTACACTCCTGCCTTACACCCACTGGTCACTGAGAACAAATTCCTTTGGTTTTAGAAAATTATCTAAATGTTACTTAAGGGCCTCCCTGGTGGCGCAAGGGGTTGAGATGCAGCACTATGAAGCAATCCACAGCCAGTGCAGCACAAGTTCAATCCCGGCCAGGGAGCTACCCACATGGCACAGCAGACCTCTCCTGTCTCGCCCGTTGCTCCCCTAAGCAGTGTATTTCAGTAGATCTACCTGTTCTGCTCCCCACTCTCTCTGGTGAATCCTCTCACCCCCTGCACCTTTGGCCTGTACCCCAGTTCTTATATGCGTAAATAAATATTTTTTTTAAATGTTGCTTATTACAAAGCTAACTCATGCTCATGGAAACAGATCTAAAGATACAGAAGACATAAAATATGAAATCAAAGTCTACCTTTCTTCTGGCCCATGTTACCCCTCTGAGATGACCCCTTTTAACATGCTGGCATGTGACCTTTCCAGTCTTTTCTTATGTGTTACATGCATGCACACACACAGTTTGCACATGGATATGAGAGTATAACGTATCTTGCACCTTGCTTGGTTTACATAATATGTCTTAGAGATGTCTCCACCTTTACTGCATTTTCTTTGTGTACTGCATTGTCTAACAGCTGCAGCATTCCATAAATTGGGCATGTGTACCCATGCCCTGATTAATTAGCGATTTAGGTTGTCTTCATTTGTTGAGCTCTTAGGAGAACACTGCCACATTGAATACACTTTTCTGTACCAAGGTACAATGAATAACCATTTACATGCAATGAATGCCTTTGTGTACATTCTACGCTTTTGTAAGCCCTTTAATATGACAGAGTCTTTGAAGTAGAACATCACCATTTTAGACTTTAAGAAGTTTGAAGTGTTGCTCTACTCAGACATGGAGTTTTCAGAGAGAGGCTCTATTTTTTTTACTGCAGAATACAAAAGAACAGGAGATGCTATATGTCAAGAAGGTTTATGCTTAGATTAGCATCCACCCTGATGAAGCACTGAGGTGTTGCAGTCTCCTACCTTCATCTCCTTTTTAATTATGTTTATTAAGATAATGTTGATTGTTTACAATGAATATGTTGTCGGAGTTCAGGATCACACCTCTTCAGATTTACGTTACCACACCACACCCACCTCCAAAACACTCATTATCCCCCGCCAGAGTCCAGTTGGGCCCTCTCTTCCACTTTATTCCCCATATCCAGCTTCCCCTTAGGTAACCTCCACTCTGCAGTCAGATTCCTAGGGTCTGTGCTCCTTAAGTTTTGCCTGTTCCTGTGTTTCTGTATAGTCTACATATGAGTGAAGTCGTCTGGTATTTGTCTTTCTCTTTCTGACTTACTTTGCACAGCGTATTCTATTTCTTCGTACCTCTTCCAAAAGGATGAGCTGGCCTACCTTACAATCCCACAGAAAGTCCTCATGGTGGAGGACAAGGGCAGTGATATCCCTTCCTTATGGAAGACAAAATTTGGTAAGTAACCCTGAAAGGCTACGAATTTCTGATCTACATGAAGGATTCCTATGGGCTGGGGCTAGGACTTCTTCATGTCCTTGTCCAGCACTGGTTACCAATTACCCATGGTTATAGGTTGGTGATGATGCCAATCAAATTTCTGAGGAAAGGGAAGAAAAGTGGTGTTAGAAATGAGCCCTTTTATGGATTTGCTGGGACAGTGCCATGGGGAGAGGAAAGTCTGGCCTGATGCTGTGGCATGTGGAGTGTTGAATTATTTGAGCTATTCACACTTACTGCTTCTCTGTTGGCAGGCTGCCGGAAGATATCCCCATCAGAATGTTCCCACGACAATTCTCCATCCCCTGTTTATGAAAAAGAAATAAAAAAAAATCATACATAGACAGAAGGGAGAAATATCACCCTGGTGACCAGCATATCTTTGGTTCTATGATTCCCAAGTTCTGAAGATGTCTGAGTGGTTGCGCCTGGGTGTGGCTCATTTTTCAAAACAGCTCTGAAGAAAGTCACCACTTTCTAAGACACCAGACAGCAACATCTTCCAGACTTGGGAAAAAAATCAATTACCATCTTAATATAGCCATCATTGTCACTTTTCTTATTTGAGTCCAGTGACAGTTAACAATTTTGCAGGTCATATTCAACTTGTGTTTAAACTACCCTTAAAAAATGAGAGTTTTGAAGATTTGATCTGTCATGGTTTGTTAAATTCACCATTAGCTCTCTTGGAAGCTATGAACTGATCTGAAAGTTAAGGTAAAATTTGCTAATGGTCAGAACCTTTACATAACTAACATTAAGATGTTTTCCTTTATTTTTCCTGAGACACCTTTCTCTCCATGTATCTCACTCTTTGGACAGCAAACCCTGTCTCTGGTGTCTTTCAGAGAAACCGCTTGTAGGAGGAAGGTTCTACTTTCAGCCTTGAGAACAACAAATAAAGAACAGATATGTAAAGACAAAAAACAAGAGGATAATTTCCAAGAATATTATTACCTTGTATGACCAAGCATGCTGATAGGGAGAGCTTGGCCTTAGAGGGTATGTGTGTGTGTGTGTGTGTGTGTGTGTGTGTGTGTGTGTATCTGGCTGAGGATAAATGTAATGCCAATTCATTGTTTAACAAGGAATACAAAAAAGTCTAAGCACTGAACATTTTTTATTCCCCATCACCCAAGTCTAAATAGTAATGTTACTCATTCAAGTATGTGGTGGTATTGTTAGGGAAAATTGTTGTTGGCTTTTCAGGCTTGAAAAATGCCTCAAAATGAGTTGATAGCAATATTATAATGAGGTAGTGACATGTAACAAAGGACAGATTTAACCCTTCATGTTTCAACCATTATGAAACATGGGGACAGCTATGCATTTTGAGGATTTAACTGGTTGCTGGGTTCTTCTTCCTGAAACACTCCTTTGTATAACTGTCATTCCCTGATCAAAACCCTCTGTGAGTTCCCATGGAAGACTCTCTACAATGAGTCCATATCTCATCTTTGCTGAGCATCTATCTCCTCCCCAATTAGCTACTACAATGGGGACCCTTTGACCTTCTTGCTGTTCTTGCTTTCATGTTTTGGCTCATGTTATTCTTTGGAAGTTACCTCCCCATCTCCCGCACCCCTTAGCTCCCCAAGCCTTTAAAAATCATTCAAGTTTTTCGTCCTACACAAAGTGTCCCTCAGGCACTCTTACATTTTTTCAATTGCCCAAAGGCCTTAGCATCCTGTAATCTTAGAGATGTGTAGGACTGTAAGCATAACTTTTTCAATTGCTCCTTTTAAGATGGGAGAAAGCAAGGCTAAGACAGGGGGCACAGCCACTCAAAGTCACATAATGAGTTGATGAGCGTTATCACCCCAAATCCCAGATTTCCTGACTCCCAAATAAGTGCATCCACTCTATAAGGTCAGGCTGTATTATTTGTGTTATTCGTGGCTGCATCACCATCATCCATCACGGCGTCTGACACACAGTCATCATTTAAAAAGTACTTGTCAAGTGGTGAAATTGGGAGGCGTCCTCTGACCACTTAGCTAAAAATACAAACCCTGCTCCAATATGTCTTATCTGTCCTTTATTTTTTATTGTTAGCACTTAACACTATCTTACATTTTATAATTTTATTTTGTCTAATGCCCATCTTCTTCCACTAATATTCACCTATGAGAACAAGAATTTTTGTCTATCATGTTCACTAATGTAATCCCAACACTTAGAAAAACAGTGCCAAGAACATAGTTAGCACTCATTCAATATCTGTTGAATGAATGAATGAATGTTAAAGCACTGTACAATATTCCCTGCTATTAAATGTTTCCTGAATCTGCGCTGTTTCCCCTGAAGAGACTGTAAATCCCTTGAAGCCAGAAAGCATGTCTTAGACCTCCCTGTGGCCCATATTGTCTAGATCACTGGCTCTCAAAGTATGGTCTCTGGAGCAGCAGTTTAAGTATTATTGGGGATCTTGTCAGAAGTGCAAAATTTGAAACCCCACCCTGATCTACTAAGTCAGAATCTCTGGAGTGGGGGTCAGTGATCTAGATTTTGACAAGCACTCCTGGGATTTCTGATGTGTGCAGGTGTTTTAGAATAACTGAGCAGGGGCACTTCATATATTGCTGGCTATATACCAGGTGCTCAGTGTATGTACTGGATTGAACTACAGTCCAAAATATGTAATTCAGTGCTTGGCCAGTAGTATACTTGCCTCTTTGATGTTATTCAATGAGCAAAGATGGTAAAAAAAAAAAAAGACTACATGCAGATTATGGGGAAACTAACTTTATGAGACTGAAGATGGTTTTCACCTTTATTTATGTCTAGACTGTCATGCCAAAGTCACTTAATATGCATTCAACACTTCATGAGTGAAGAGGAGAGAAATAAGACTGAGCCTTTGCCCTCAAGACATATGACTGTTAGAGGTGACAGGAAATCAATATAGTAAACAGCCTAAGCAAGCATGCACTTGCACATGTGTGTGCCGCCCCACAGTAATAACTGGAAATGAAAACTGGAATAGATGTGCTTAGGAGACACTGAATAGTTGGAATGAACAGTTTGGTATAATCTGGAGAGGTTTCCAAAAGAACTGTCACATTTCTTGAAGCAGATAGGACAGAGCATAAAATAGACAGTTCTGTGGGCAGAGGGTACCTCAATCGCAGGGACAAGGCCTTTGGATAGCAAGTCGCATACTAGAGAAAGCAAACAATGTAGACACTTCAGGTGTGAAATAAGAGACTGGGCGGTGGAGAGACAGAGAGGGAAAGGGAGGACTAGGCAGGGAAAGAGGGAGGAAGGTGAGGGGAACAGGTTGTTGCGGTAAATAAGGGTGGTAAATAATTGTTGTGTGGACTTCAAAAATAGGTGAACAATGGACTTCAAAAGCAATTAATTCCTGTTACCAATTTTTTTAAAGATTTATTTATTTATGCATACAAAAGCTGGGGTACAGGCCAGAGATGTGGGTGGTGAGAGGATTCACCAGAGACAGAGTGGGGAACAGAACAGGCGGATTGACTAAAATACACTGCTGAGGGGAGCAGCGGGTGAGACAGGAGAGGTCTGCTGCGCCATGTGGGTACTTCCCTGGCCGGCTGGGGATCGAACTCATGCTGCAGAGGCTGCAGATCGCTTCATAGGGCTGTGCTTCACCCCTCACGCCACCAGGGAGGCCCTCCTGTTACCAATTTTTATGTAAAGGTTCCTCTGGTAAAAACAGTATTTGTGGAAGTTTATTCTGCCAATGGAGTGTGGACTAGATGGAGAGCAACTGGAATCTGGAAAACCAACCAGAAGGCTCCTGTAGTAATATGTGATGGGCCATGAGGATTTATAAAATAATGAAGAAGGGACAAATAAGACTACTGCAAATTAAAAGGAAATGATGACCCTGTTTAAGAGCTGGCAATGGAGGAGTAAGGCAAAGGAGAAAGCAATGTACATTGACTCCAGTTTTGCAAATCTAGAGAGCTGAGGAAAAGCATTGCCCTTGACAGTGACCGAATGGCAATGAACTTGTATTTACTTGTTGTTCTTTAGCTGGCAGTGGTGGGTCTAAACTATACCAAGGCAAATGGAAAAGTAGGACGGGAAAGAAAATTTGAAAGCAGAAAAGATTCATCAGTGAATAGCAAAATGAGATGTAAAAGCAATACGCTAGGGCTTTCAAGCCTAATGTAAGTAGCCAAAAAAGAACAAATTGCCAAAGAAATAGCTAGAAGACTAGCTCTCTTCACCAAATGCCCTACTTAAATGTAGATTTAAGAATTGGCATGGACACGGAGTGCTTATTCAGTATGGCCATCTGAGAAGTTCACTTTATTGCATTTAGACCCCAGAGTCTTAACAGGGCTTTGAAAGAGTGTCCTTAAATACACACCATCCAATCAGAATCACAAAGCAATATGGAAGTACATAGTCCCTGGTAAATGAGCCGAGAGGTAAGATGGCAAAACAATGAGGCAAGTGGGGATCAAACATGGGAGCAGACAATTCCTTATAATACCTGTTCAGATGCATGTATCACAACCTGTGTTTGAACCCTTCAGTGTTTGCAAACAGCCTATGTATTTAAATTTGCAATGTTTCATTTCATTAAAAACTAAAACCACTGGGGGCCTCTCTGGTGGCACAAGGAGTTAAGGCACAACCTATGAAGCTGTCCGCAGCCACTGCAGCATGAGTTCGATCCCCAGCCGGCCAGGGAGCAACCCACATGGCGCGGCAGACCTCTCCTGACTCGTCCACTGCTCCCCTCAGCAGTGTACTTCGATCAGTCTGCCTGGTCTGTTCCCCGCTCTGTCTCTGGTGAATCCTCTCACCCCCACACACTTCTGGCCTATACCCCAGCTCTTGTATGCATCAATAAATAAATCTTGAAAAAAACCTAAAACCATTACTTCTGAACATACATATATATAAATATGCATATGCATATATGTATGTGTTCATATATTCTCAACTAAGAACTACAGCATTTCTGTTGCTTTGAGTTCAAAGTAGCATTCTCTAAGCCTGAATATTTAAGTAGGTTTTAAAGGTTTCAACATTCTCATCTATTTAATGTAAACAATAATTAACTGAAGTTATCTTTTTAGATATTCACATTTTGTATGCCTATAGATGTTGTCTAGACTGAGGCAGAGTATGACTAGAAGCTGAAAATAGACTTCTCCATTTACAATCTTAGATGTTGTATGTTATATATCCTAACTTAGATTTCAGCTAAGAGACAAAAATACATAAAAGGAAAAAATATAGTCACTGATACCCTAAAAAACCTGTTTCTTTGCTTGTGTTTTCCTGATTCACTGGACAAATTATCTGAAAGAGAGTT